CAGCAGGAAGAAGAGAAAGAAATGATGCTGAAGAATGAATGCCCTAATGAATGGCTCTAATCCCAAACAAATCTCACAACCCCTGCTCAAGATGAAGCAACCTAGATGGAGAAAGATGATGCACTATCTTGTTCCCCAAACATCTGTTAGTATGATGTTTCTCTTGCTTATTTTCCCTTAGAATTTGATCTTAAGGAAGGTATGCAGTCACCTTCCAGGACCAGCAACTTATAGTTAAGTTCATGGAACATCCACAGCACAGGAGCCTTTGCTGCTTTCTGTGTGGAGTTAAACCAGTCATTTTCTCAAAGAGGAAGCACAGTGCCACAGCTCAGCATTTGAAACCCCATGACTTGTCCCCAGCACCAAAGACAATGACAGAAGAGGCAGTTAAAGATGGGTGTAGCAAGATGTTGCATCAACTCATTACTAGACTGGGACCATGCACTGCTAGAATCTCCTCAGCCTTGTCTCTGCCAGGCCCCGTGCAGCACCGTGCTCAGTTGCCATCGCTCGGATTGTGCCCAGGCTCTTGGGAAGACAGAAGGATGAGTCATTCTCAGGACCTTCAGGTTTGTGGCTGTGAAAAAGGCTCAAAGCTTTCTTGTGCAACTACATGTCTTTTTTTTGGCATTTGCAGTTCGGGAGAAGCATGAGGAAAATTTCCTGATTTACAGAAATACACAGAGGTAATTTCTTGTCTATGTGCACATTAGCCAGTGAGCTATTTTGAGTTCCATATAAATATATAGAGATACATACCAACAACAAAAGGGTATTTGTGATCTTGGTTAGAGGCAAAGCTACAGAACTCAAGCCTCTCCAGAGGGCCTGTGCTGGCTGCAGGCTGGGTGTCAAGTCTTTGTTTGGCCTCAAAGGCAAACGAGAGTATAACGAAATGGGAATATCCATATTACAAATCTAAGCTGATCTAAGTAAAGGGCCAGAGATGGAAGTTTCTTAGGCCATTCAATACAGCATAAAATTTATTTCAGGCAACTCAGTTCACACCTATTGCAACTTGACTGACCTTCAGTGGTAGTAATTAAATTTGTTTAAAATATTGTTTTGAAAATATAGTTTAAAATTCACCACAGTAGTCTTAGTGGTAGACATAGAATGAAAATTATGTTTTATCTATTCTGTGTGCAGGGGAGAATGTGAGAAAAAATACTCATTGTTGGAAAGGTGGTGGAACAAGCCTTGTGTGTAAAGCAAAGACATGCCACTGTGTGTAGTAATTCCCAAGTCTTTTTAAAGTTATGGCAGAAGTTGACTGTGACTTGTTTGTTCAAACTGGCTATTCCAATTAGCATCTATTTCCCTTTGCCCAGCTTGGTTTGGCCTACATAGATTTGATCTGATGGATGGGGGATAAATGGGGCTAACTAGCTCTTTTGAAGATACACTACAGGTCTATTTTTGAAATGGAGCCTAAGTCCAGGGAATGCATAAGCTATCCTACCTGGGACAGGATGCAGTATGAGTTCTGTCACTGTGGGACTCCCTAGGCTTTTACTGAATTGGCAGCTACTTTAATTTCAGTGCCTTTTTTATGGAACAAACTTGTTTTCTCTGTGTGGTGGTTGATACGGTGGCAGGGAGGAAAAGGAGCAAATATATTGAAGCATCATTATTTCTGTATGGGTTAAAAACTGGTGCATCAACATTAACAGAGATTCTTAGGTCTACATTTCACAGATAAGCTTCACAGAGAGAATTAACGTTTATGTTTTGCCAAGAATAGGTTGCCTAAACAAGCTTAGTACAAGTTCTCTCTTCTGTTGAAAACCATTCCTTCCAAATTAGAAATGGTTTTTTGCATCCAGTACTAAAAATGGAATGTAGCATTCAAAGGCACTGTCATGTCTGCTGCTCCAAAATCCACTTTAAGGTAAAGCCACATCTGTTTCCATTCTTAAGGTAGTAGATTTTTTTATGAAAGAGAAGCAAAACCTCTTGTAGACTACATGCAAAAGCCTTTATAGGTTTCTTGGCCAGTGGTCTACTAATTAGCAACCACTATGCAGACTTATCTGTATTTTGCTGCCTTTCACTGTCATGTTCAATAGCAACACACAAGAGCAAGATCACTGTATTCTAATGTGAATTACCATAAACAACCCAAAGTATAAACACTCATTTGAAGAATAAACTTATTTTTGGTTTTGTAAGGCACCATATACTTAAATCTCATTAAAATGTTCATAATCACTACCCTATGCACCATCATAACTGCTGTAAAATCTGGTTAAATAATTACTTTGATTAAGTATCAAGTAATTCCATTCAGTCTTTTTAAACAGACAATATTCTGGAGTCCTACAGTATATCTTCAATATATAATATCAGTGTGTAAGTTTCATTCATTTTACAGTTTACTGCTTATTAAATTTAGGGTTCAGTCCTGTCAGTCACTTTATTAAAATCTCGCAAACATCCTAATTGTTGGGGTACAAGCTGAACACAAATTTATTGCTGTGGAAGGATACTGTGAATAATTATAGCTGTCCACAAACAGGTTTTTCTACACTAGAACATCAGTTGGAGAAATTTCCTTTGCAGTCCAGTTATTAATACCACATTCCTATTAAGAGGGCTGTCAGCATATTAGCATCATTTGTATTTTAGCAGTTGATAATCCAAGCCAAGACTTGGGTCATAAAAATAGCCCTACTTAGAAGCAGTGAGGCAGACAATAGAGAGGAGGAAGAGAGAGCACTCAATAAACACTAGGGAGGAATTCAAAGCAAATGCTATCCAGAAAGAACAAAGGTGGGACAATACTCCATGGTGGGGCTGAGGGGGGGACATGTTATTTGAGGTTTAGTAAGCAATTGGAGATTATGGTCAATAACTGCAAGATTTTTGTGAGAAGTCCTAAGTTGTGTTCATAAAAACTGAAAAATGTATAAAGCTTTGCTACATTGGAAAAATCTGCTCTACCCAGTGCTTGTAATAGAGCTGTGCTAAATTACTTTTTTTGTGGATCTGTTGCAATATATGGAGAACAGTTTTCAAATCCTTTT